AGGAGTTTATTCTTTTTTACTGCTGTAGAATATTCCATTATAGGATCTCCCCTGCCTTTTTTTTTCTTTTTAATCCATTCCACTGACATTTCAGTTGTTCCCAGATTGGGGCTGTTATGAATAACTGAACATGTCTCAATGAACATCTATACAGTATGCGTTTCTGTTGAGTATATATCCAGGAGTTAAGATGCAGGGTCATACGGCATGCATATATCCAGGTACTGTTTTAAGTGCTTTACATACAATAATGCATTTAGCCCCTACCACAACTCTATGAGGTAGGTGCTAACATTATACTCAATGTCATACCCAGTGCTTACAGATAAGGAAACTGAGGCATGGAGAAGTCTGTGTTCTCAAACTAATGGGCTACACTGTCTCTTTGTCAGGACAGGAACCACATTTACCCTACGTAGTACAGTGTTCCAAGTGTCTACCACAGAGCTCAACAAATATATTTTGAATAAAGAATTGGAGAATAGCAGGAACTCTCCCCTCCCCTAAAAGCCCTTTTATCTCAAATGAGCTAAAAATGTATTTTCTCCATTTTTGGATATAAATGCAAGTCAGACAAGTTGCCCCACCTTTGCCTTCTCTTAATCCCCTCTAGTGGATATGCTATTGAAAAGGGAAATAGCTAAGGGTTAACCACACAAAAGTATCTTTCCAAACCAACTGAATTTGTGCATTGGACCTTAAAATATTGTCTAGCCCATCAGATCAAAAAAACAGACTCAGAAGTTAGGATGTTTGCCCAAGATTAAGCTGGTAATAATGGGAAACCTGGCAGTATACTTCAGGTTGTACATTAAGGACCTCTTCCCAATATTTACCAGAATGACAAAGCAGTGGTATCCTGAGACTTTCGGGGACAGATAAATTTTGCTTCAGACTAATGCAAAAAGCAAAGTTCTAAAAAATAGTTATAAATGGAAGAATTAAAAACATATAATTTTAACTCGAGAATCTTAAGTTACAAAAGTAAGTGAATTTAGAGCCTTTCAAAATCAAGATTGGAACAATTAGCAAGGACAGTTTTAAAATAAGTCACTTCCTCAAACAGCAAGTCACTTCACTTAGGATATAGGTTAAGGGGGTATATAAGTAAAACACTAAAGGAATGTTACATACTTGGTCATTCTCACTAAAACATAAAAGTCAAAATAAAGTAAGATATTCCCAGCCTTAATTTGGCACCCAAAGTAAGTTTTCTGACAACCTACTCCTATGTTCTCCAACATACTAAATGAAGATAAGTAGGAACTAATTCCATAGAGGTTTGTCTGAGTGCATCTCTTTTTCTTTCTCACAAGTGCCTTTCTAGTGATAATGTTATGTATTCTATTTGCAGAACCAGTGTCTACATCTTTTAATAGTGCTCCTGAGATCATTACAAATCAGTTTCCTCAAAGCATAATTATAGTACCAAAGATTCTATGGCATGTTTCTGCAGACAGGAGACCCAACTTCATCAGGTAAATCTCATACATTTTTAGAAGAGGTATAAAAAAGTTTATCAGTTATAGGGTTCAATTCCTACCTCAGGGAAGTAAAAATTCACTAAAGGAAAGGACATGCTTATCTCCTAATTAACCAAGGAAAGGCTGACAAGCTGATTCATGAGATAAATCTACAAAATTTTAGTAATTCCTTTTGTGGAATCTTTGAAGGATCCAGGCCATTCTACTGTCTGTAAAGTGTGACTGTAGCTTAAAGATGAAAATGTTAGATCTGTAAGAGGGTGTCTGGTTTGTTCAGAACTCTGCAAACTACTGATGTTCTTAGGACCAAACCAGCATCTGGGGATTATGTGAATCTGGCATGAACACACCCGCACACATGCATGCAGCACAGCTTACAGCTAAAAGGACAACTAGTTAGTTTAACGTTAAAAATGTTAAACTAAAATTCCCCTGATAGAAAGCAAAGCTGTAGAATAAGTCTGCAAACAGCCAGAACTACTAAAAAGAAGTACTTCTGGATGAACCCATTTGGATTAAAGTGCATGACGATTTAGTAATTGATACTTCTTTGTTTTTATATGAAATACATAATATTATAATTTTCAGGTATTCTGTTATCCCTGAGTCTAAATGTTTTAGAACAGATTATGCCCAAGACAAAATATAGAACCAAATACAATGCAAAAGTGATAGAAATATAATTTTCTAGATTCCATGTTTTAAGAAGATAATATATGAGGATAAATTCCTTCATCAAAAAGGAAAAAAAAAAACCCACAAACCTTTTTGCTGTTACTTTAAAGCTAATTATTGAGTGAATGCAGGTGAGGCAGTAGAAACAGAGCCGCCTTATCATTGTATATAACTAATTCTACTGCATATTAAGCTATGGCAACCTATACAGGCTTCCAGTTTTGACATTCTTTAATTCAATGCCATATTAAAACATTAGTTCTTAATCTTTCTCTGGCCATTACCTATCAGTTTAGAGCAACAGATGATTATTATATCTTCTAGACATAAGGGGGTTTCATTGTTCTTCCAATCATAATCAATTCTCCCAAAGGGTAAGAACTTTGGCTCATTTAAAATTTTGAATTGAATAGGATTATGGGTGAGAACTAGCCCTCTTGGTGTACCTTAATGATTCCATGCCTACATAAGGAAAATCTTAAATCATTTTAAAATAACACATTTGTTCCCCAGAAGCTACCGAGTTTCTTGTCACTGCTTTTGAAAATAAATTGAAATACCACAAGGTCAATTAACATCAGTGTCCTAACAAAGACTTATTCAGTCAAATGAACAGTCTAATAGAATCTCTTTAATACTGCTCTACTACCACATAATCATATCATTATTGACCTTATCTTGTATTATCTAATCTCATAATTCTTTCACAGAAAAAGCAACTGTTGAAAACATATACAGTAACGAGTAATCAAGTTGTATTCATTTAAAAAAAAACACCACAAAACTATAACTATATACATGCATGAGTCACATAACTGTTTCAGTCAGTGACAGACCACATATATAATGGTGGTCTCATAAGATTATAATAACTATACCATATAGCCTAGATCTGTGTAGTAGGCTATACCACCTAAGTTTGTGTAAGTATACTCTATGATGTTTGCACTAAGACCAAATCACCTAACGATGCATTTCTCAGAACATATCCCCGACCGTATACCAAGTGTTTTCCTAAACTGAATAACTGTACTAGAATCCTTAATAGTGCCAACATCTAAGTTTAAAAAAAAAAAAAAAAAGTCAGCCCTTTTGCAAAGAACTTTCTCAGTAATTTTGGCTAAAAAATATAGTTAATAAAAAAAATTCAAGATCAATTCATACATATCCCACAGACCACCATGCAACTCTAAAGACACCTAAGTTTCCCTTCTCCTCTACCCATGACAGAATATCCAAAATAACTTCTAAGAATGTTATAAACCAATGTTGCTCAAATTTAAAAAAAAAAAAAAAAAAAGTCAGCCCTTTTGCAAAGAACTTTCTCAGTAATTTTGGCTAAAAAATATAGTTAATAAAAAAAATTCAAGATCAATTCATACATATCCCACAGACCACCATGCAACCCTAAAGACACCTAAGTTTCCCTTCTCCTCTACCCATGACAGAATATCCAAAATAACTTCTAAGAATGTTATAAACCAATGTTGCTCGGAACTATCACATAATCAGATTTTAATTTATCCTTGGATTATATACCTAATCCTCTCAATAAATGTCTTTTTAAAACAAGAAATCTATTATGATCAACCCACAATTACTCAAGATTTGCATTATTCAAGTTAAAAATATTCTCGATTCATCCCAGATTCTGAATTACTCTCAGTTCTTTAGTAAACAAGGAGTACACAAAATGTGAAACTCAAAATTCAAGTATTTGGTACCCTGAAAACAGCAAAAAGATTACTTCTAATTTAAGTTTGGTGAGGGAAAGCTAATCATTTGGGATGCATTTACACATGTTGCACCCACATTGCTGTTAAGTGTTTTTGCCAAGTTCCTTAACAGTTTTAAAAGTTGTTGCTACCGTACTGCTTTATAGAAACTTTGTAATACTTTCAGTGATAATGTCAAACCTAGATCTCTGTCTTACTCCAACTGAATTATTTATATCAACTTCCAGTAAGGTCAGGTAGTAAAAAATGGAAAGATCATAGAAGCAAAGTTATTTATTTTTTAATGCGAAGGGCTCTTCCAATTTTTCAAAATCAATGTGTATCTTGACATACAGACAGTAATCCCCTCTCCCGCTTTTAAAGGAGTTAATTTTTGGCATCTTACTACCAACGTTTTCATTCATTACCTAAAACGTTCACCAACGAATTTTTTCCAGATGCACTAGTCTGTGATTAGTTTATTTCCGGTCAATTTATATGAGATCTAAAAGGCAACCGGTAGTTCCCTGTGAACACCAAATAGTGCTGTTTCGCTGGGTCTGAACTCTAGAATCCTCAAGTACCCATAACTATAACTACTTTCAAACCCACAATGTGCTCAATAGCTCTGCCCTTGCAAACAAAAGCTTGTGGTGGTTGGAGGCCCCGCGCGAAACTTTAAGGTGTTGTAGGACCTGGACCAGCCGACAACCCACAAAATCCTATCACAAGAGCAGCTCCAGGTTCAAGGAGGTTAAAGAGCGTGCAGTCGGGGAGAAACCCCGGCCAAGCTAGTCCAAGCAAACCGGAACCTTACAAACTGGCCATTCAGGAGGGGTGCACAGACCTGGGGCGGGGAAGGGGGAGAGACCCTAAAGGGCATTAGGGGCTGGGTGGGTGATACAGGCTAAAGTCCATGGAGGCAAGTTGCTCCCGCGCACGCCTTAGCAACCTGGTGGATGCCACAGGTACCGGTCCAGGTAAGAGGTCCCTTGGTCGCTCACGAGATAGTCAACTATGGCCGCGCGGTCCCTCACGAGATAACGAACTCTGGCCGCGGGAAGAGGCTTGAGGAGATGTAGAAGCACACGCCCCGCCACCCCCACTCCTCCACCCTGTCGCTCACCGGTGCTGTAGCCCCACGAGTCCCAGAGTGATCACATGCGGCACATCTAGTTGCGTGGGCCACTCGCCTGAGGCGATGCACCCGAACACGCCACATTCCTCTCGGATGCCCAACTCCTCCAGCTCCATGTCGCTGCAGAATGCACGTGGAGGGACCTGCCGCCGCGGCCCAGGTCCAAGCACAAGCCAGCTGTGAGGTCGGCCCGTAAGCCTCAGAAGCTCGCCCTCGCGACAGCCTCTTCGGAGCAGCTCGACCCCGGCTACTGCGGCGGCGCGTGTTTTCCCTAAATAGGCGTGGCTAGTTCGGCCCCTCGCCCCCTTGCTCCGCCTCCTCCGGGTCCACCAATGAGCAAGGGTGGAGGGGAGGCTCTTCGGCTGAGGGGAGGAGTCACGGATTCTGTGGGGTGGAGCTAGTCCTCTGTAGGACTTGTCCGCAAAGCTAATTTTTCTGCACGTGGAAATCACCGTTATTCTCTAACACGCTAAACTAGGGTGATGAGAATAGCGGGGTTATCGTCATTTCTCTCTCAGAGGATATAAACTTTATATACCAGTCCCCACATGCTTCCCCCCGGCTGTCATGACTTAGTACGCCCCAAACTGTGACCTACTCTCGCTGCCCATAAGGGGACCCGATAAGTGAGGTTCTGCAGAATCGGGGGGGGCCGCCAGTGCGCGCCACTTTTCGCCTCTCTTGGAACACGGCCAGCGCGGGGCGGTCCGGAGGCGGGGTGTCGTTGCTGCGCCTGCGCGGCGGGAAGCCTCGAGAGGAGGTGCTTTCCCCGCGCTCCGGGTTCCAAGTACCCCTCGGATTTCAGAGACCCTCGAGGTTCGGCAGCTGTTGCAGAGCTCGACTTAAGCAGCGCCGGGATCCGCAGCCACTCTAGGGGGCGTGTCTGGGGGGGTCCCGTGGACCTCTCTGACCACCTCTCTTTTCCAGATTTCGGCCTCTCCGCCCAGCACGGGCGCTGCCCCTGGCCCACTTAGGAAAATGGCGACAACTGAGGGTGAGTAACTGGCGTCCAGGCCCGCCGGGATTCCGTGCCCTCCATGGTCCTGCCGCCCTTCGGCCGTGATCTCACGGGCTCGGTGCGGACACGTGCGGGCCCTGCTCCCCTGCCTGCAGCCAGCCCCAGGCGGAGCGCGGCCTCCCTGCAGTCGCCCTTTGGAGGCTGGCGGGCGCACACGTGGCGCGGGCGCTGCTGGACGTGCGGTGGACACAAAGCACTCTGAGGCCTCTCGGAACGTAGTGAAACACCCAGAACGGCCTCCGGGAAAGGGGAAAGGGGGAAACTAGAGGAAGAGGGGAACTAGAACGAGAAACGGCCGGGGTTTGGAGAGGTGTCCGGAAGTAGTGTTTGTAATCAATGGATATTTTAAAACGGTCGCATGAAAATCTAGTGTTGACTCCAGCGTTTGCTTTTCCTGGTATGTTAATAATCTTTTTTTTTTTTTAAAGAAGGTTAATAATTGAACCTTCTGAAAATCTGTCCAGGTTTTGCGTGTTTTGATCTTTTTACTTTATCTTAAGTAGGCTTTGATGCCGCGATGGCTTTGGAGAGCTTCAAACCCTCAGGCAAAAAAATTGCCTCACTGGGGTTTATCAGATTTACATAGTTGCATAATCATTTTTTTCCCTAGTGGTCAGATCCTCAGGAAAGATCGTTCTTGCCATTTATGCTGATAAAACATTTTCACACACCCAATTCCTGAATTTATCATGAACCAAATTGCTTGTGTTGGCCCGTTAGTACATTCTTTTCCATAAAGAAAAAAATTAAGTTTAGGACAAAAAGTTATAGACTCAACAAAAAGATCCAGATGATAATGAGTATCAACTCCATAAAATCAAGGCTCTGAACCAGAATTTTCCTGGGATCAGGGTAGTTGTACCTCGAAGCTAGTAGAACGTCTAAAATCATTACTGTCCTACTTCCTTCCATCTTGTACACCATTGGTAGGTTGGTTTTTCTAAAATGTCACTCTTACGGTTTCTAAAAGGCATTTGCTCAAAATGTTCAGTGGTATCCCTAGAGCTCTTAAAATCCGGTGTGAAGTCCCTTTCATTTAAATCTTGCATATTGCTGTCCTTCCTACCTCTTCGGCCATAACTTTAATTTTTTTCTGTTTGTTACAAAGCACACTCAGCTCCTAGCTGACGCTCCCCAAAATTATTATCGAACTCACAGGTGGGGCTACATGTCCCAGACAAAAAAACAGACAACCCAAAAGTCAAATGTTGGTGAAAGTGGAAGTCAGCTTTTGTTCAGGAATACCAGTAAACCTGAAGGAGAGTGGCCAGGCTAAAGCCATCTCAAAGACTTAGATTTACTGAAGGGTTTTAAAGAGAGGGACTAGAGACTGGAATGTAGGAAATGAAAAGCAGGAAGGAGGGGCACGTGAGCAGTGAGGGCTTCATGCAAGTTCTCAGGTGCAAGGTCTCGCCAAGACTCGGTCTGGTTTCTGTTGCTGTCCTTATCTCAGGGTCTGGGTAGTCCGTGCAAGTCTGCAGCTTCAGGGTGACTGGAAACAACTTTACATTCATGTAAATTGTGTCATCTTGCCCCATAACCAAGATTCAAAATATTGAATAACCATGGGAAAAGAGGGAACTCAGAGAAATACATGCCAAGAAAAAAAAACTATGTCTTTTTAAAATTTGCTTAGAGCCGGTGTGGTTTTAGGTCCCAATATGGCTTCAGTCCTTCCCACTCCAACGTATTGTGAATTCTTATTCTACTTTTCGGTCAGGTTAATTCACCAAGGTTTATTTTTCTTTGTATACTTTATACAAGTATATGCTGTTTTTCCTAGAACAGTGCTGGCTAATAGAAATATGTGAGCCATATATGTAAATTTGTTTTCCTAGTAGCCATATTTTAAAAACAATAAAAATAAAACTGGTGAAATGAGTTTTAATGTATTTTATTTAACCCAATGTATTCAAAATACTAACATTTCAATGTTTAATCAATAGAAAAATTATTGAGATATTTTGTATTTTTTTCATATCTAATGCAGTGTGTATTTTAAACTTACATCTCAATTTGGAGTAGCCACATTTCAAGTGTTTCATAGCCATATGTGGCTAGCGGCCACATTATTGTACAGCACAGTCCTAGAATGTTCTTAACTCCCCTGTGGAAATTCTGTGCTTTCCAAGACTCTTAAATTTCAATTCCATGAACCATTCTCAGTACTTGTCAGTCTTCTGAATTCATCTGCAAAATTATGGCAGTCATTTTGGCACTTGTATATGTCACCTACGGTTTTTTCTTATGTTCTACCTATTAATCAAAATTTCTACCTTATTTAATGATTAGGTAATAAGTACAGATTCAACTAAATGGGGGGGTAGTAGACATAAATTTTCTTTTTACCTAGGATTTACTTCATCTTAACGCATTTAAATCTTATTTATCTAATCTGGACACCATTTATCATTTTATTTATCTAATCCACCACCACTACCTATCCCTTTCTCTTTTTCGGCTAAATTTTGATCATTCTTCAGATCTCAACCTAATTGTCCCTTTCTTCTAGACTTCCTTCTCTGATGTTTAGACAAGGTTAGGTGGCACTTGTATAAGCATGTGATCCCATAGTCAGTATTTATTGTGCTGTTTGTACTTACTATGATGTCATGTTTAGTATCTGTTTCCCTCAGACTCAGGTGCCTTGAGAGCAGGAACTAGGTCTCATTTACTACATGTCCCAGGGCCTGGTACATGACGACACTCAAAAAATGCTGGTACTGAGAATGAATCAGTGTTCTGGGAGCCTTAGGCACAATTTCTCCCTGTAGAAATTTTAATTCCTCAAACTTCTATTATCTTTGATCTTCATCTAAATCATTCTTTATAATAACCAGAGTCTACTTTCTCTAGGTTTTGTGACCAGCATCAACATTGGATTCCTTCCTACTTACTTCCTCACAATTTCTTACAACTGTTAGTGAAGAGAAAGGGTTAGTGGAGCGGGGGCAGGATTAATAGTGAGGGATGCTTCCAAATGGACTAACTTAAGTGGATGGAGATGCCTCCTCTTGCACATTAATTTGAAATCAAGAAACCCATCTGGCTGAACTTTCCCATTTTGCCAAAACAAAAGTCAGGAAAAGTATAGCATTTTTTCCCTGCAAGCTAGTTTAGATGATGTACTATGAGTGTGTATATGAAAATACTAGTATAGTTATGATAGTTTGAATGTATCTTAATTTTAATCTACTTCAGTTCTGCTGTGAGAGAGGCAGGCTGATAGTAGAAAGAGCACAGCGATTGATATCAGAAGATTTAGGATTTTGTTTGACTGCATGACCTCAACCTTTTTGATTCTTAGTTTCCTAATCTCTATAATTATTTACATAATTGTAATTCGTCACAAAATTATGTGAATCAAATGTGATGACACATGAGAAAATACTTTGTAGAGTAGAAGGTTTTATGCAGATGATTTCATTTTTATTAAGGTTATTAGTCAGTATGTGTTTACTGATTTCATCATTCTGGATGATTTAGTCTTCAATATTCAGGCAATTTCTTCCTGAAATCTGATATATTTTCATTTTATTTCCACAGTACTGAACATCGGTAAAAAACTCTATGAAGGTAAAACAAAAGAAGTCTATGAATTGTTAGATAGTCCAGGAAAAGTCCTCCTACAGTCCAAGGATCAGATTACAGCAGGAAATGCAGCTAGAAAGAATCACCTGGAAGGAAAAGCTGCAATCTCAAATAAAACTACCAGTTGTATTTTTCAGTTGTTACAGGAAGCAGGTAAGTGTCTCCTTCATGGCCTTCTGTTCCTTCTCTCTCATATACACTGATCTCTTGCATGGAGAGATGGCATTATTTGGATTAACAGCATGTTTGGGGATGTCTCACAAGTTAATTTAAATCAAGCCAAGAACTTTTAAACTTCATTATGATAACTTTATGTGGTTAGAATTGGTACTTTTGTTTAGTTAAAAGGAATCCTAACAGTTTGCTACAGTCTTTAACTGGTGCATAGATCCCCTATGTAACTTCCTTCTCCCAGGCTGTCTTTAGTCTTAAGGAACTTAACTATGAAGGAAGCCCATTTTGGTATTAGGAAGCTCTAATTGATGAACGAAATTTACACCCTATAATTCTATAGAATTGATCTTTGTTCTGCCTCTTAGAGGCAATACAAAATTTTAAATCTGTCTTCCACTTGAAAGTTCTGAAAAGTATTTGAAGACAACAGCCATACCTTCTCATCCTGCTATTCCCCAAGTGAGAGGGTTGAACTAGATCAGAGATATACAGAATTCCCTCCTACTCAAAAACTGAATGAAAGCTCTATTTCCGGTAGAGTAATAAGGAATCCATTCAAAAGACCAAATTAAGATCAGAATATTGTGTGGAGGGTATTTGAAGTGGAGGAAAGGAAATTAGGATAATGAATTTTTTTTGCAGAGATTCAGTGAGCTCCTGGTTGGTTTGTGGTGTGTGAAATCTCAGCCAGTAAAAGATTTGAGCTCTTTCCTTATAGTAAGAGACCTCATTGCCTTGGATCACTCAACCTTTGAAGGCTCAGATTCCTTGTCTGTAAAATAAAAGCTTTGTTCTTTATCATCCCTGCCAGTTCTGATTTTATAATTTAATAAACTTTCTCTCCTTACTTTTATTTCCAATATTCCCAGTTGCCCTTTCATTTCTCAGAGCTTCCAGTAAGCACTAATCTTTCTTTATTACAAAGTGGGGAGGTCTAATACTTTCGTTTATCATTAAGATAAATGTACCTGCCTTCCACAGATTAACAAGGTAATTCAAGTTAAATCTGTTCTGTCAGTACATTTTTGGAGTAGTTTTGCCTCTTCCAAAGTATCCTGTTTCACATTTTAAGTTAGTGTGAAAAAAAGGTTTAATTGCAAACCTGAATTGTCATCCACATCATAAATCCCCCTATGTGTTGAAAGTGAGTATATTGCTATAAATTTAAAGGACCTTCCGTAATTCCTGAGTCACAAGATCTAAGTGATAGGTTCTAATTCCTGTCACAGGATCTATGTCACAGGATTCCTTGGTTGGTGGGTTCCCAATGACGGAGTAGATTTCTAGAGAGAGTACCAAATTATTTTTGGTTCCTTTTATAATACAGATAAGTGTCTGACCTATTTTTCTCCTCCCATGTTATTTCCCTCTCCCCATCCACATAAAAATTTTTAAAGGTGCTTAACCCTTTAAGATGTTAGCAGTAAGAAAATTACCTTCTATGTACCCTAGTAGTTGCACATAGCTATGGGATTGCATATATGTAGTCATGTGCCACATATCATTTTTGTTGACAGTGGACCACATATACAACAATGGCCGTAAGATTATAATGGAGCTGAAAATTTCCTATTGCCGAATGACATCATAGCTTTTGTAACATCACTGCACAATGCATGGAGAAGTAAGCTATACCAGGAGTCTTCAAAAAGTTCGTGGAAAAATTTGTGTTATCTTTTAATTCCATTTTTTCCATGAACTTTCTGAAATATCCTTGTACCATATAGCCTAGATGAATAGTAGGCTATACCATCTAGGTCTGTGTAAGTACACTCAGTGATGTATACACAGCAACAAAATTGCCTAATGCTGCATTTCTTAGAATGTATTCCCATTGTTAAGTGACACATGACTGTACTTTTAAGTATGGGATATAAATACAGGCTCAAGTTTTTATTTGTTTATTCAATAAGGCACTTTTTAGTACATTCTCTGGGGCTTTAGAACTAGTAAATTGGGGAGACCCGGTTGTCTTTGTCCATGACTTTGTTTTAACTCTGAAAGTCCACTGCTGGGGGGGAATTGGGAAGATTGGTCACCCTAAGTGAAGTACACTAACAATTATCTTTAAACTACGTTATCTGGCATGCTTAACATAGCTAAAACTTAATTAGTTCACAGGAAATGTTGAAATGTATTTTCTAGGTTTTGTACATAGAACTGTATAATTAAGGAAAACCTAAGGTTTAAAAAATTCCTAATCAGGTAAATTTTAGGGGACAGATTAGGAATTCCATTAAGCCTTATGTAATTTTTACTTGCTAATAGTTAAATAAATGCTATTTCTGGCTGACCACCAGTGCTTTGCTTAAAACTGCTTTTTTAAACCAGGATTATGTTCCAAATTAAGGTATTTTTAGAAATTAGACTGGGAAGAGCACCAGAATAAGAATCAGAAAATCAGGATTCTAGTTTTCTCATTGTCATGTATGATGAAACTGTAATGTTTTATTTTTGTGTCTTTTGTCTTTTTCCGTGTCCGGCAACGGATCACAACCCTCAGTGTTGCCCCCGTACCGGACCGGGGACCGGCAACGGGATTGCAACCCTCGGTGTTGCTCCCGCGCCTCGCTCAGCCAGTGAGCGGGAACCGGTCTGTATGTGGGATCCGAACCCTCGGGCGGGAGCGCCGCCGCGCTTCCCAAGCGGCGCACTATCCAGTGCGCCACCGGGCCGGCCCCGAAACTGTAATGTTTTGTTCAAATACTAGCTAATACTGTTTTTCCATGGAAGTGGTATTATCATGTGCTGTACCTGATTTATGAGATTTACATTAAGAAGGACGGCCACAGGGATATGTGAGCTGATTAGCTGTAATACAAGGTCATTGTAATTCAAATGTGTAAATGGTATATATATTTTTCAGTAACCTTGATAGGAGGTTTGTGTTTTGCAGACAAATGAGGTAAATGGTGGGAGTTCTTTTTCTCACCATATGTAGTCATGGAGTTTGCTATAATGATTAGCAGTGTCATCATTATATCATCTAAAACTGAGTCTCTTTTAGAAGCTTTCTTTTTTTTTTCCCCTGGGGGAGATCATTACCGTAAGTTCATTATGTGCTTTGGGTTCTCTTAGATGTGGGGGAAGGTTTTCCTCTGAGTAAAAGTAACTTATTTATATTTAAACAATAGAATCGGATACTACTCTGTCCAGTTTAGTAGACAAATGAGCAGATATGACTGAGGATTAACACACTTAAGAAAAAAGAGGTCTTGAAGCCAGGCATGTAGTTACCACCCCAAGTTAAGGATTGATTTAAGTCACCTGGCTGCCCATGAACTGCATCATGGTTAAAGGTTAAAGTGACAATTGACTTCCACTCTTCCCATTCTCTCCTTAGGGTTCCTGTTCATGCAGTACACCACAACTTATTCTTTTCTCTGTTTTGATCAAATCTTGCTAGTCAGACCCAAAGGAAATGCAGAGAAAATAGTAGAGGGTTTGGAACTGGACAGTGCCTTTCGAGTCTAGGCTTCGTTACTGATTTACAGCTTGACCTAGTGTGTGACTTAACTTCTTTGAGCCTCTGCTTCTTTCACTGGAAAATGTAAATAATACCTACCTTAGAAATGTTATGTACAGTTAAATGAGGCAACATATATCAAACACTTAACACAGTGTAGGGTTTCCATAAATAGAGGTTCTCATGCAGGTTACCAGGAGATGTTTTAATTCACAATAATGCTATAGCATTACTTTATACTGTGATGTAGTAACCCTTCCAGAAGAGGTACTATACTGTAGTGGTTAAGTGGGCAGCCCATTTAGACAGGATGGGTTGGAAATCCTGCCTTACCTAGTACTAGCTGACATTACTGTATCTCATCATCCCACACAGAAACTCTGTATCATTAAAAAATAACTCCATTTCTCCCTCCCTTCAACACCGGTAACCTCTTTTCTATTTTCTGTTTCTATGAATTTGCCTCATATAACTGGAATCATAAGTATTTGTCTTTTTATGTCTGGTTTATTTCATTTAGCATAGTGTTCTCAAGATTCATGCATATAGCATGAATGTGTCAGGAATATTATTCCTTTTTATGGCTGAATAATCCATTATATATATA